GAGCATTAATGTGGGGATCAAGGAGTTTCAAGCATTTGGACTAATTATGGGTTCCAAGCATAATCTATTCAGTGTGAAAGAAATGCAAAAGAAGTTTTAGACACCATCCATGCCTTCTGGAAAGTTATACACTTAAGTAGGGAGGCAAGATACTCACCTGTTATATAACTCAGCAGTGCTTAAGTGCCAAAAACAAATGGTATCAAGTACTTTGAATCCTGACTTTGTCACTTTCCAGCTGTGTGACTGGGCAAGAGATATATTAGTTCTCTGTGCTACTTCTCCCTCATCTGTAAAATGATGATATGCCCATGAGGTTGTTTGGAAGACTAAATTAATTACCATCAATACGTAGAACAAGACTTGAAAATAGTAATTTTATGTTGTTTGTCAAAATTATAATGAGCTATAAGAGTTCGAAAGGGAGGGGGAATGAATGCTGGAGATGGTGGGAAAGCTTTGTGAAGAAGTTGGACGCTGTTTAGAGATAGCTAATGTTATTGTTGTTATGTGCCATCAAGTTGCTTGCAACTCATAGCAACCCTATGTACAAGAGCCATAAACCCTGCTCTATTCTGTGCCAACCTCCCTGTCTCCGACACACCTACTCCCACTACCCCAGTCACTGAATCGATCCATCTCATCGAGGGTCTTCCTCTCCTGAGCTGTACCTCCACCCTCCCAAATATGATGTCCTTCTCCAAGGACTGATTCCTCGTTGCAACAGGCCCAAAGTATGTCAGATGAAGCTTCAGAATTCTTGACTCCGAGGAGCAGCCCAGTTTCACTCTCTCCAGGACAAACCTGGAGACAAACCTGTTTGTTCTCCTAGCAATCCATGGTACATTCAACACTCTTCTCCAGCACCACAGCTCTAAGGCATCAATTCTCTATCATCCCTAAACACTGTCCAGCTCTCTGATGCATAGCACACAATTGTGAAGACTATAACCTGGATGAGGCACACCTTAGTCTCCAGCCTGAGATTGTTGCTCTTCAGTATGCTGGAGAGGTCCCTTACCACTGACTTTCCAAGTGAAATTTGCCTCTTGATTTACTGGCTGCTGGTACCAAGAATATTGACTGTGGGGCCAAGCAAACTGAAACTGTTAACTATCTCAGACTCTTCACCATCCATACTGATGCTGTCAATTGGCCCAGTAGTAACAATCTTTGTTTTCTTGATGTTGAGCTTCAATCCATATTGAAGGCTGCAATCCTTGATCTTCTGCAGCAAGCGCTTCAGGTCCTCCTCAGTTTCAGCAAGCAGGTTGTGTCATCTGCATAACACAGGTTGTTGATGACTCTTCCACCAATCCTGATGCCAAATTCTTCCTTGTACAGCCCAGCATCCCAGATGATCTGTTCTGCATACAGATTGAAAAGGTATGGAGACAGAACACTTCCCTAGCATACACCCGTCCCAATTTTGAACCATGCAGTGTCTCCTTGCTCTGTTCTGATGACTGTGTCTTGGTCCAAGTATAGATTTCACATAAGCACAATCAAATGTTCTGGGATTCCCATTCTTCTCAGAGTCAGCCACAGCTTGTGATCCACACAGTCAAAAGCCTTTGCATAGTCAATGAAGCAGAGATAGACATTCCTCTGGTATTCTCTGCTTTGTGCCAAGATCCATTTAAATTAGCTATAATTACAAATTAAGACACTAGGAAGAAGGATTAGCCGTCCACTTCTGAATAACAGGCCTTTGAAAATCCTATGTACAATAGAGATAGCTAATAGAAAAGAATTCTAGATTGAGAAAAACATTATGAACAAAGGTTTCATATCAGTAAGGCCATGGCATTTCCAAGTGATTTGCTTCATGTTCCAGATTCTTCGTGTTGGGGAATAGTGGAAATAGGGTAGGATAGTAAGATGAATATAACTTGTGTTTGCTTAAGTAAAGGAGTGAGCTGAGGACTTAGAGCTTATTGGTTGTGATTCTGTGTGTTTGGGCAAGTTGTTCAGTCTCTTTCATATGTGCGTGTGCACATGCACTCACGTACTCAGTCACTCTCCTTCCTTTCTCCTGTGGAGCAGCTGGTAGATTTGACCTACCAGTCTTTTGGTTAGTAGCTGCACTCTTTAACCACTGTACCAGTTCTTCCTCTGTAAAATGAAATGGGTGGAATATTCCCAGTAGTAGAATTGCTGGGTCAAATGGTATTTGTATTTACAGCTTTTTGAGAAAGCTCCAGGCTGCCTTCCACACTGGCTGTACCATTTTACATTCCCACCAGCAGTAAGAGTTCCAATCTCTCCACAACCTCTCCAGCATTTGTTGTTTGCTGCCCTTCTGAACTTTACTATTGTTTCTGGGGTGAGATATCTCATAGTTGTTTTGATTTGCATTCTCTGAAAGCTAGGGATTTTGAACATTATTTTATGTGTTTCTTTGTTGTCTGAATGTCTTTTTTGGTAAAATGTCTATTCATATCCTTTTTTAAATTATCATTTTTTGTGTGTGTACCATCAGATCGGATCTGACTGGTACAGGAGGAGATTGTCCCTCCTTCAGCAGAACATCTGGTGAATTTGAACCAGGCACCTCTGGGATTGCAGTGCAGCTTCTTGCCACTAGGCCACCAGAGCTCACCGAAATGTCTATTCATATCTTAAAGAAACCAGAGCCACAACTCAAACAAATGTATGTATATTCATGTTTATTGCTACATTATTCACAATAAAAGAGAGATGGAAGCAACCCAAATGCCCATCAAACGGATGGGTAGAAAAACTATGGTACATTCACACAGTGAAACACCCCGTAGCATTGAAAAACGCTGAAATAGTAAAACATTATACAACATGGGGAAACCTTGAAGACATTATGCTAAGTGAAATATCTCAGTCACAAAAGGAAAAATACTGCATAACACTGCTGTTATAAAATAGGACAGACATGGGGTGCTTGGGGAGAGAATGGGGAAAGAGTGGGTAGATAATGAACACTGCATTAGAACAGATGAAGGGAAGAACTGTCCGAAAGGAATATATGATTATGCATTATATGTATGAGATAGATCTGGAACAAGGGGTGCATTGCGAAGTGGACTGAGGGAGGTGTGGGGGAAAATGTGCAACAATGAATAAGAAAAAAAAACAAACCCAAAGTAAGTAAGTGGAGTACAATCTCTTATTTCTCTAAAATTTTATGTTCATACATAAAAAATTATTTCCCAAAACCACTGTCAGGGGGAAATGGTTTTGGTTTTGGTGTGTGTGCAGGGGTGGTGTGAAGGTAGCTGGCCTGTGTGAAGCAGACTTGTGGTTCTGGCCTCTACAGCCTCATGCTGTAGGTGAGTGATTTGACCAGGCTACACTACACAGCACCTTTGCAGCATTTAGAGATCACCATCACTAGAGAAATCTGGGGTCTTGTTGGGTGGATTTATGAAAGGAACCCATGGGTATTTTACTCCCAAGGTACTTAGAGTGAACTTTGCTGTTGTTCTTTTAAGAAACTGTTCTCCTGTGGCTGTGAGCTTTGAAGCAGACCCTGAGGACTAAGTTGTTGTTACTGTTGTGTACCGTCCAGCCAGCACTGACTCATAGCTGAGCCTCCAGTAGGTTTTCAGAGGCAGTAAATCCACAGGAATTGACTGCCCATCTTTGTCTCACTGAACAGCTGGCAGATTCAAACTGAATGCCTTTGGATTGACAGTGCAGTTGCTTTCCACTAGGCTGCCAGGGCTCTGTCAGGGCTAAATAGGAGAGGAAAGAACAGCCTTTAGTTTCAAAATAAAATTTCTATATTGTATTGGTGAAGCTCGTCTACTTAAAATACAATAGGTGTAGAATCTCATTAATTTTACAAATTAATCATATTTCCCAATTTAATTCACAAAATCATTTCCTCTCTTCTCTCAGAAGGTGAAAAATTCCAACAAAATAAAAACCCCACAAAGCTAAAGGAGAAAAAGCAGCTCAACAAGCTCTAGTTAAATTGCCAGTGAAGTCTTTAAGACTGTCCTGATAGGACCTTATGGGGCAGTGACAAAACATGGTTGCTTTTGACATAAGCCATTCCTTTATTGCAACGTGGAGGCTTTAAATATTCCAGGTCTCTGTGTAAGCTTCACCGGAAATGGGCTTTTCTAATACGATGATTAGAAGTCGTTGGCTCTCATCTACTGTTACTTCAATTTTCCTTTCTGGAAGGGAGTTTGGGTTGGTTATCCAGTTCTCACCTCCCTGCCCTTCCCCATTGCAGTTTGCACTCAGGCTGGTCTGCTGTCTGTCAGCCTGCAGTGCTGCAGTGCTGTTGCATCAGAGGAGTTCTCTAAAATTCCACTCTCATTTGCTTTCTCTCGTTGCTAAGTGAGAAGTACTTAGAGCCATGTCTGACCTCTCCATAGGAAAAAAGTGCTTTGTGTTTGTCCCTGGCAAGAGCTTGATTATTGAAGAAGATACTTCTGGGCTTTTATACTTGATAGATTTTACGCAATTTAGTGAATTGAAAAATAACTTGAAACCATAGAGACAAAGCAGATGGTTGCTATATTATCCATATTTTTGTGCCTCTAAAATTTGGAAGGGTTTATTTTGTTTTTAGAAACTGAAATTTGAGAAGTATGACAATTTACCCTTGTGTCATCCTTGGAAGGAAACATTGTTTCTTTGGGAAGTTGGGAATTTGGGAGTTCCAGCAGAGGACTCCAAAACTGACTTAGATTTCTGAACAGCTTAAGCTAGAAGTTCCTTGAGGATATGGACTATATTTTTGTTGTATTTGGTACCTAGAAATGAGTTGCATCTAGGTAAATACTTAGGAGATAAGCCCTCATCCTTTGACCTTGCTCACTGACCCTAAGAATTGGTTATGATCATCACCTACTCCATTTGTGCCATTGATTTTTCTGAGGAGAAAAATTATCTCAGTACAGAAAGTTTCAAAGGTGGTGAGTAGGTTTGACATGAGATGGTTTGCTCCACCTTTTTTTTTAAAACAGTGATTGATTGATTAATGCTATCTATGTTGCTGTTTCTTCCAGAGCTGACCTGTCCTGGATACAGCATAACTAACGAAGCTGCTGCAGGATGAGAAGATGGCAGCACGGCTGCTCGCACCACCAGGCCCTGATAGTTTCAAGCCTTTCACCCCTGAGTCGCTGGCAAACATCGAGAGGCGCATTGCTGAGAGCAAGCTCAAGAAACCCCCGAAGGCCGATGGCAGCCATCGGGAAGATGATGAGGACAGCAAGCCCAAGCCAAACAGTGACCTGGAAGCAGGGAAGAGTTTGCCTTTCATCTACGGGGACATCCCACAAGGCCTGGTTGCGGTTCCCCTGGAGGACTTTGACCCATACTATTTGACGCAGAAAGTGAGTTGGAGGAGGAGAAGCAGCTTCAGACACCTCTTTCCTGACAGGCTTAGGGGAAATGGGGAAGTTTGCCAAAGTTTGCATAAGTCGTTAACCTTTTGTTTCGGCTCTGGTGTATGGGGATAATTTTTCTGTTTAATTGCTGCAAAGGGGTCATTTGTGGGTCTTGGTACATCTCAACTCTGTTAATAAGCTTTCTCTTATTGGCTCCAGGCCAGATCAGAAAAAGAAGATATAAATGTAAAAGAATGTGTAAGAGTCCATGAAAGAGGGCAGAGTAAAACATGATAGTCCTGTAAAATTTTGCATATACGTACACATGAGTTTTATTTGAATATTAAGATATTACTAATGCAACATCATTGGAGCCTGTTAATGTAGAGATGATGGATTTATGCTTTTTATCCTGTCCCTTTTGTGACATTAGAGTGTAGCCACTGGTAAGAAGAAAAGAATAAATCAAACTGTATGTGTAAGGATAGATTTCAGGTCTTTGTTACCCAGTTGTCTGAACTGAACCAACATTTATAGTTATGTTAGAATTAGTTCTGTCAGTCTTGCAAGTAGAAAGCGTGGATGAAGGAAACAAAATCTTCTCTAGAAAAGAAAAAAAACTTCTCTGACAAAGATAATTTATTTTTAGGTAAAATTTTGATGTTATATTAGTTTGCTTACCAAGTTCATATACATTGTTTTTTTGCACCAGTCTTTCCCATTTCCTTTACCCAGTCCTCCCTTTACCCATAAAATTGTGTGACCTTATGATTAACCCCCCAGCCCATCCTCACCCCTCTTTACCTACCCTCCCCCCATTGGATCCTTATACACATTTTACTAGTTATCCTTCTATTTCTGCAATAATGGTCTTATACAGTTTTTATCCTTATGGGACTGAGTTAGTTCATTTAGCATAATGCTCTCCAGTCCCTCCCAAGTTAGGTAGTGATTTTCAAAATCATTGCTCCTGCGTGCTGCATAGTATTCCATCATCTAACAAAGATTTGACCTAAGTCCTAGGTTACTATGACATTGTTATTTATTGTTGGATTTTGGTAGTAATTTTGTTTTGTATTTTAGAATAGAGAAAAATCATCTTTATTGTGAGAAATGCTGGTGATCACACCTGCTATAGGGTAACTAGGCCTGCATGGTTATCTTTCTATAATAATGCAGCCAGTGAAAAATCACAATCTCCTGAGTGGTCCACCAGCCAAATAAGTAGCCAGAAACCATTATTAAACACTGACATCAGACACCAGTTTAGCAGGATTCACTTGTATGATGGGTGTCAGATAAAAAAATTAGATTGTTAATGCCATCCTAGGTAAGGTAATAAATGGTTTTATATGTTTATATATTTGCAGGTGGCAAGATCGTTTAACAAAATTATCTTTCAGTCTCAACCTTTGAAAGGTTTCAGCTTTGGCTTTATAATAAAAAAGTAAGACCTAGTGAACAGATCTTCTGACTTAGCTGCAGTCGCAGTGGCATTTTTAGTTTAGCCAAAGCCGGGAAGGTGTTCTCTACATGAAAGGACCCTTCTACACAGGTCATTCTGAACAGCATTAGCTTTTCAGAGCAACTGCATGTAATATAATAGTCCAAGTGGAACCTGTAGCCTGTGTATGCCAGTGGAAAAACTTGGAAGTTTAGGGAATAAAACATGATAGGATGTGAAGAATAGTGGACTGGAACCACAGAATCTTTTTTTTTTTTTTTTTGCCATAAGTCACCATGGTCATGATTTACGTTTCCCCTTCTTATCATGTATATGTTTCCAGCTATCTTAAGTCACTTGTAGGAAAAGAGTAATAAATTAAAAGAGAAACAAAAACCTCTCAAAACTAATTGATAACTTTTAGCAAATCATTTCATTTCTCTGGGTAGAAACTGAGAAGTTGGTCAGATTTCTAGGACATTTTTTCAAATCTAATGTTCTAGAGCAAAATAGTTTTCATAAACTGTCATTGATTTCTTCCCCCTCCTTATTTTTAGAGTCTGAAATTTTTAACAGAACCTTTGCTAGGGAGGTGAGGAAAGCAGTGACGTTAACTTTCTGGACTAGAAATAAGAGACTGAGTATTAGGCTGTTTTTAGAAAAATACTTCATTCATTGTAAATTTTTAAAATATTTTTAGATATCTTTTCCCCTGCTCTTATATTTATGATCTTAGTAGATGACAAAAGAAACAATAGATTACAGAATTTAAGCTCTGCCTATTTAGTTAAGTTTGTTCCATTGGTGTAACATTTCTAGAAAAATGCTTTTAGAGCAGTGAGTAGATATCAACACAAAGTCATTTGGGCACTGGCCTTTCAGAGTGCCAAACCTTCTTTGTTTGTATTTTACCATTTGTTTTTCCAAATCAAGTGCAAATTGAATTTATTTTCTAAGACCCAACAAGAGATGGAAAATACACAGAGAATATCATAAGTCAGAGGCTAGTTTACTCATGTGTTGTCTCCCTGATTCCTGACCCATAAACAGCCTCCCATCACCACCATCTTGGATTTCAGTGGCCTGGTGTGTGTGAATGTGAAGACGTGTCAAAGAGAGTGATTCTCCTTGGGTCTTAGAATCATTCCTTCAGTGGCCCAAATGGTTGCTGATGGGATTCCATGAGAATTTTGGCTTTCCATGTTAGGAAGTGTATTGTCAGGCCATGGTTTCACCACCCCATACATTCTTTTTGGCAAGAATAACCTTAATTGTATTTTTTTTGCTGTTGTAATTTTTTTAATCGTTAAATGCACTACCTTGAAGAGAAGGTCATAAAGTATAAATTCATATGGTTATTACAAAGCAGTCACATTACCACCTATGTCCAAAAAAAAGTATATTGCTAGCACTTCAATAGTATTAATTGTGCATTTACAAGAGAATTTCTTCAGTTGATTTAAAAATAATATGCTTGCTTAAGTTCATGTCCAGATTTTTACTGTTAGTAGACTGAATTAGCAAGTAGACGTAGAAATTTAGTAGACTAAATTATATTAGCAATTTAGTAAACTAAATTAACAAAATCCTACCCATAAGGACATACACAGGAAATTAATCCACAAATTTTTAAAAAATCATCAAAGTCTCTCATTGCCATCAAGTTGAAATCAAACCATAGCTGACCCTCCAGTGGGTTTTCAGGGGCTGTATATTGCACAGGAAGAGATAACCCATCTTTCTCCCTTGGAGCAGTCGATGGATTCAAACCTCTTAGTTCTGGGTTGGCAGTGCAATTCCATATCCACTAGGCCACCAGGGCTATTTTTCCTAGGAAAAAATAAAACCTCTTTGCTAAATTATACAGTTTCCTGGATTCTTTTTCTCTTTTTCCCCCTCTCCATGTTCTTATTTTCTAACTGATTGATCATCTTTTCTGTATCTTGTCAAGTTTTAGAAAGCAAAATTCAGCTTGCCCTTGAGTTGTAAAACAAATAATAAAATAAAAACAAACAAGATATGAAAAGGAAAGGATATGAGAAATACATTTCTACTTAATTTTGTTATTTATTTTCTCTGCCTCCTGTCAGTGGAAATTCTTAAAATATTTTCTCCATCTTCACTTTTTTTTTTTAAGTGGGTCAAATCAAGATCTTTTTCTCTGCTGCTTAAAGTATCTTATCTTCACTACAAAAAAAAAATCTTCTCCAGTACTTAATCATAACATGTTGAATTTTAAATGACCTTGTTTATTCTTAGTAACTTTAAATGAGATAACAAGAGAAACTTAATTTAAGCTGAAAGAAGTCCTTCAGAACTTACTATTTAGATTTCTAGATTCGAATTACAATTCATAGACCTGATTATTGACATTGTTCTTGTTGATAGCCTTCGAGTTGAGCACGACTCATAGTGACCCTATGAACAAAAGGCTTAATAAACCCTCTACAGCTCTCGACATTTATCAAAGTTCATAGAGTTTCTGGAGACATGTTTAGAAGTGGATGCCACCGGTGAACCCTTTTTTACTTAGTGGATAACATTGTTATAAGAAAGGCCTCTAAACAAATGCTTAAGTTATAGCACTGATTGATTTAGTGCAGTTCTTGTTGTACTTAAAAAATATATGTGCCTTCCCTACATTCAGTTTTCCTTCAATTTTTCGCCCACTACATTTCCTACAGAGTGGGTTCTGATTAGAATCCACTAAACACAGTAAAGATTTGGTGGCCTTAGACATCATCTAGTCCAGCCTCCTCATGTTAAAAATTTTATAAATGTAGTGCCTTGTGAAAAGCCAATCCCATAGTTAGTAATAGAACCAAAACTAGAATGCTTGCCTTCTCATTCTCATTCTCATTCTCATTCTCAGTTTATAACTGCACATTGTTGTACTGTGCAACTATTTACCTAGCATGTGATCTGATAACAGTTTACTTAACCTTTCCACAGAGTGCTACTTTTTTTGCCAGGGTGGGATTGAGTACAGTGTACTTAATTTATGGTGCAGGACAAGTTAGGCTCTCTGAGCCCCTTCCCCTTCTCAAGGGGATTGGACAGAAACTGTGTCAAAGATGTGAGAGTCTCAGTGGGGGGGAGGGGAGATCAAGTTGGGTCAAGGACTCCCCGGCAGCTGAGGGTCTCTCTCTGTCTCTTTTAGTGCTATTGCTGGGGTTGGTGGTTCAGGGATCTTTTATTCTTTGGAGGCTATGTGAATCATCAGGTGCACCACCCTGTTGCTATAGCCAAATTCATTGTCATACTAGGAAATTAGTTTGACGGAGTGGTTGTTCATGGCTATGCCAGCCCCAGCATCAAAGGTGAAAGAGCGTATGTCACTGTTAAAGTCACAGGAGACAACCTGGTCTTCATTGTATCCCAGAGTTCCCTTTAGCTCTTCTGATGCCAGCTTTACTACCTTCTTGATATCATCGTATTTGGCAGCTTTCTCCAGAGGCGGGCCAGCTTCACAACCAGCACATTCGGAGTGGGGACACAGAAAGCCATGCCAGTAACCTTCCCATTTAGCTCAGGAATGACCTTGCCCATGACCTTGGAAGCA